GGAGATTATTTGAAATAAGGGAAAAGGTGGAGCATGATACTTCGTGGCAAATAAAACCAGGAATTCCAGCTTCTTGTTTGACAATTGGACCAAACAGTGACTTTATTTTTTACATAAGGAGAAAATGCGAGAGATGAGGAAATAAAGGTGAAGGAATTCATTGAGAATAGAATTTGGAAGATTGAAAAATTGAGAGAAAATCGGAAGAAATGGTGTTTCACATTGTGAAAAAACATCAAACCTAACAATTGTGCCCTTAACGAAAAGCCATGGTGGATGGGGAATTCAACAGGAGCATTTTCAGTTAAATTACCTTATCACATAATGAGGAATAAAAGGGAATCTAGAGAAGGGATGAGCTACATTTGGATTAAAGGTCTTCCTTTTAAAATTTCTTTCTTCTTGTGGAGAGTAAAGAACAAAAGAATTGCAATCGATTACAATTTGAAGAGGATCGGGATGCATATAGTATCAAAATGTCACTGTTGCGAGAAAGGGGAAGTGGAAACCATGACACACTTATTTTTAACGGCTCCCATAGCTAAAAGGCTATGACAGTTTTTTGGCTTCTCATGCATGTTTTACTATTGATGAAAATCAACTACACCGTTAAGTCAATAAATGGTGGGAATATGTAGGGAGTTCAAAGTTGCAGCAAATCATGAAGGCCAAACCAGCCTTTATCATGTGGGAACAAAAGGAGATATTCTAGAAGACATGGGAAGGACGTTTATTTTGATAAAATGCTTCGTCAATGTTGAATAACCGTTCATAGATGATAAAGATCAAGTGTCACGACCAAGAAGTACCCCCTAAAAGTAATACGGCGTACTTGACCTCTTGGAGGTCTTATACAAGCCTCTTAGCTTTCATTCATCACATAGGTATAAAAAGTAGTGCGAAATTAAAACTTTTCACAACAAAGTCAATAAGAAACTCTTTTATAAAACATAAAAAAGCTAAGTCTCATCATCATAAGTCATGTTAGACACATTTTATCATCATAAGGTCACGACCCTTACATAGAAACAAAAATAATTTCTAATACAAAGTCTTTAATAGAAAGAACTAGAAATAAATCCACGTCCTCAAACATATGAGGATGTACCAAGAACTTAAGAGAACAATCTACTTCCCAAGCTTCAACTCTAAGATCCTCACTTCTTTCCACTTAATCTTGTAGAGATAAAGAATAATATGAAGTTAGTACAATTAATGCACTAAGAACGACAATATGCAAAAACATGCTTTAAAGAGGACATTTTAGTTGAATATGTTTTTCATGCTAATTTGGTAAAACTTAATGAATTGAGTGTACAAGACACCATACAAGTCATCAACATACAAGGTAATACTTCCATAATTCTCAACATATAACCATATTCATTAAGTAACCCATTAATCATTTCGACCCTCTATCCAAAAGTTATCCTAAGACCCACCTAGGTAAGACATGAAGAGACAGCTCATAAAACCTCTGCAATACACACCTAAGTGATCCTTAAGACTACCGAAGATAAAGATACTTCCTTTTCATCACAACTCAACAAGTCAACGTTCATTACTAGAGATACTAGAGGAGACATTCATGCATTTAAGAACATCATGTAAAAACCATCCCCTAGGATAACCCCAAGTTACACTAGTGCAATGTGAAAGTAGTTCAACATCTATCAACTTGTCTCTCTATCGCCATATGACAATAGAATATTTAAATTAGAGAGAAAATGAATTCATGACACTAAGGGTGTGTTTGGTATGAAGGAAAATATTCTCCGAAAATGTCTTTCCGTTTTTTATGGGTAAAATGTTTTGGAGAATATTTTTCAAATCAATTCATTTTCCTCAAATTTAAGAAAAATGATTTCAGGAAAACATTTTCCAAATTCTCTTCCAACTTTGTATTATAATATTTTTTTTGAAAAATCAAATTTTTTTTGTTGAAAAAAATAATTTAAAGCTTTTATTTTCAACTTCAATTTTTAATTTTTTTAACCTATCCTCCCCCCCTACCCTCTCCCCCACCAGCCCCCTATGCCCCCCACCTCCCCAAAAAATATATTTTCAATTTCCAATTTTTATTTTCATCCCACCCACCCTTACCCTCGACCCCCTCCCCCCAAAAGAACTTAAAAACTAATGTTAGTTTCTAAAAGTTTTTTTAAAATTCTTATTTTTCATCCTATCCCACCCTTACCTCACCCCCTTCCCAAAAAAAGGGAAAATGCACAAGTACCCCTTCAACTTGCGCCCGAAATCCCAGAGACACACTTATACTATACTAAAGTCCTATTACCCCTGAACTTATTTTATAAGTAATTTTCTACCCCTTTTCGGCCTACGTGACACTAGCTTAAAAAAGGTCAATTAACATTGAGACCACAAGATGGTGCCACGTAGGCCGAAAAGGGGTAAATTTTTTTTAATAAAATAAGTTCAGGAGGGTAATAGGACCTTAGTATATTATGACTGTATCTCTAGGATTTCGGACACAGGTTGAGAGGTACTTGTGCATTATCCCTAAAAAATTTTAAGTATGTTTTTAATAATATTTTCAATTTTAATTTTATACTTTTTCACCCCCCCCCCCAAAAAAAAGAATTAAGTTTATTTTTAAAAAATAGGGAAAAATGTCTGAAAAATATTTCAATTTTGGCCGAAATTGCTGTTACAATATCAAAGTTTATGGATGACCATTTACCTCCCCTGAACTATTTAATAGTGTATTTTAAAGGTACATATATTTAACAATGCAACCAAATACCATTAGTTATTTCTAAATTAGGGTTGTACAAAATCAAACTGAAAATTGAGTCAACTCGGAAAAAAGTCCGACTAATGATTTAGTTTGACTTGGTTTGATATTGGAAAAAAACCCCGACTATACTTGGATTAGTTTGGTTTAAACTAAAAAGAATCAACATGTGATCAAATTAACCCGACATCATATATATAATTTTAAAATTGTATTTTATACATAGAAGTATTTACTTTGATGAAAATTTCTAAATTGCTTATAAGTTTTTTTTTTTTTTTTTAATCTTCTTAACCTATTTTTTCAAGTTTTTTGAGATTTAAAATTTTGAATGGTCCAATAAAAGATAATCCTTAGATATTCGTAACTCTAAAAGAACTCAATTCGCAATCATATCAATACTATGTTAACAAACTAAATTAATTCAACACTAAGAATGACAACAATAGTGAATACATGTTCTTTAATTATTCATTAGTTTAGACATTTAAAATACATAATCTAATTTTATTTTTCTTTAATGCTTAATCATGTAACTAATACTTATTAGACTTATTTTTAGCATGATTTATTACTTTTAAATCATGATCATTTTCAGTATGTCGTTGCAATATTTATTTTATATAATGATTTCATCATCATCTTTTATTAACTATATTAGTGTCAGCACTCATCTCATATTTTGTATTATTTCTTAAGAAATATCTTAGATAGTTGTATTTTGATTGGACTAAAAAGTATTTGGATCACAAGTTAATTTAATATTTATATGCAAACATTACTGGGAAAATTAGAGATTTATTAGTTATGTTTGATTTGCAAATTTCAAAATTTGACACGATGGTTTGGTATATGAAAAATATAAACCAACCCAAGGTTGTTTATTAGTTTGGTTTGGTTGATAAATTCAAAATCTTTACATATATGGTTTGATTTGATGATAGGTACCCATGAATATGTATATTTTGAAGACTGACAAAAATTGCATCATGGAACAAGTTTAGCAAACGTGATTTGAGTGTAACCGGTTCTACAGGAAGACGGATTCTGAATATTAAGTACAACTTTGTAATTTGTTAGGAAGCATACTTAAAGTGGGAAAATCATGTGAATAAAGATGTAAGAAGGAAATAATCCATTCAAAGTCAAGTCAAAGAAGGAAAACTACTTCCTACTTGTTTAAGGAAAACTGTGCGTAAGTTTTCCTTGAGGCGCCAGAGATAAATAGGAATACAAGGCTTTGAGGCGGCAAAGAAAATGAGGAGTTCAAGAAGGAAACAAATCAAAGTAAAGTCAAGAAAGAAAACTGAAGACATATTCGAGTTGAACTAGGAGTTCCACATAAAGTAGGAATCCTATACATGAGCTTCTAAGTTTCAAGAGAAAAAGGAAGCAGAGCACAAGTAGGATTTCTATTTGAAATAGATTTTGGATTCAAGTCCAAATCTATAAATAGGACGATGGTTTCGCTGGAGAAAATTGTGCAGTTACATAAAGAGAAGACTAAAACATATCAAGAGTTTGAGAGAGTTTTGAGATTTACTAGGGGAATATTGCCAGTTTGTGAGGAAAAAGTTGTAAGATTGTAATTAAGACTATTGATTACAATCAAGTGTGAGTAGATTCGTCTAACAAGTTTAAGAAATTTGAAGGACGGTAGAAGACTAAAACCTGAGGTTTTTTCTTTTAGGTAGCTAGGAAATTAGAGTTTATAATTCTTTAGATTACATAGGTTTGTAATCTTTTGTAGAGGCTCAGAGTTTAATGAAGTGGAGTTAAATCTTCTAGAGGTGTAGGTCGCTATTTTTTACCCTTTATGAGTTGGGATTTTCGCGATAAAATATTGGGTCATTATTTTATTTGTTTTACAAAATGCAACTATTGTAATCTCCAAAGGAACATATAAAATATACTTGATCCTTATGCAAATTAAGGCCAGAATTCCAACATTTGATATTTGAAAAAGCCAAACCAACCCGGTTATATACACTCCTAGTTTTGACCAAAGATGGTTAGGTTGGCTATGTTATCAAGGATAGTATGAAGGAGGGTTGGGCAAAGGGTGAACTGGGAGAAAAGAAATGTTCACTCAACCATGCGATGCATGCAATTGTCCATAAATAGATTTCTGGGACAAATTAAAGTTGATAAAACTAAGGCACAACATAATTACAAAAGTAAAAGAATAGAGACATGTTCATCACTTGCGAAATAGGAAAGAATAGCTAATTAATGAGCTACCAAGCATGCATAACTTTCTTATCAACCAAGTATCAAGCAGGAAGCACATTTTCAATGTTTGATAGCATTAGTATGTTAAATCCATCTGCTGCTGTGGATATAACCATTCCAGGGATCTGAGGATGCCAATGAAGTTCTTTCAAATCTTTCTGACCCTGTTAATTAGATATGTCGTCAGAATAACTTCGCCATCATCATACAGACAAACATACAAACAGACATAAGAACCTGATGGACAAAGAGAAGTTGTGGGGGCAAATCTGTTGGGACATTGACTTGCTCTTTCATTTTGACTTTGAACTCAGCCTCCTCTTCCTCATCTCTCTCCAAAGAAAGGTCCCAGATACTGATATATATATTTAAATAGAAAAGGATGGTGATTTATACAAATAAACAAATCCATTGAGAGAGTGACATCAACAATCCCTTTAGAGTTCTTACGTCAGTTGATTGTCAGATGATGAAACAGCAATGGTTGAGGCAGCTTCATGGTGAGGACTCCATTCAATAGAAGTGATCGGATGTTTGTGATATTCAAAGTATGCCACGACACTCTCTCCTCCTTCCTGTAAGACGAAACAAGAGAATGAGCACTCACCCTTTTTTTGTGATGCACTTTCTCCTCTACGAAATAGGATGAGATAAACTCATACTGATCTCATCCTCACAATTTCCAGCCCTCGCCAAACATTTAAACCGAAATTGAGAGAGTATTAGAGAATCATACGTACATTCAGACCACACTTGACGACTCTAAGATCTTGAATAGAAAAAGCCCCGTCATCACTCCCAGATGCAAGCATACAGCTCGCTCCCCTAGGAGAAAAAAGAATCACATAACAATGTAACCATAACTATAGATATGGAAAGTAACAACAGAAAAGTCACATACCTGTTCCATGATATAACATTAACATCTGTCTTATATGCCTTTATAGTTGCTGTAGGAGATCTTTTCTTTCGGGTGTCCCATATCTTAATACTTCCATCAACTGAGCAAGAGGCAAACACACAAGGATCTACAGGGCTCCACTGCATCAGAGGAAGTCACAAATAAATGCTTTAGCATTTAGCAAATGTAATGACATGCCTAAATTGAAACCTTTCCCTAAGTAGCTACAAGCATTATAAGAGCACCTGAAGATCTTCAACACTTGCGCTGTGTCCAATAAAGGGATCTTCAACATTCCATGTTGTATCAGAAGTTGGCTCCCATAAATGGATACTATTCTTGCAGTCCCCTAGTAAAAGCAACAAACGTTAGAATAATTATGAACATGGCATATCATCACATGTGCAAAGAGTGACATCCCATACCTGAAACAAGCCTCCCTGGTACATGAGGACTCCAATCTATAGCATAGCCTTCATCTTTGTGTCCGCCAAACTTAAATAAAGGTGAGTGATTAGAGACTGCAGAAGCCCCTTGGCTACGATCACTCTCTGCTTCTGCCAATGCATTTAAATGTGAGCTAAAATCCCAGACCTGCCAGTGCATTAAACATATCATAAGATGAGATTTTATACTAGTCTCTGCATAAATCAACCTTCTGGACAAACCTACAGATGCACTGATCAGTACGTGCAAAACTATGGAGGGTAAAGGTGTTAAAGATAGACCTAGAGTCGCATGCAAGGCAGTTGTCTCGAAAGACCTTGGGATCAATGCAGCAGACTTAGCTAATGATGGACAAAATGGAAGGAAAAGATTCATATAGATGATATATACTAGTTGGAAATAGGATTTAGGCTTGTTAGATAACTTCTATTATTTTCTCCTTTCACTTTTATTCTATTTGGTATTATGATGATATAGGTTGACTTAAGAAAGAATTGAGAATTCATATAGCCTCCCACAACTTGTTTGAGACTGAGGCATAGCTGTTGTTGTCTGGATATACTAAGCTTCATAAGAAGTTTGTTCTTGTATCTACATGTTCGTTGATAAAGAACTACATAAATCAGACGGACTTAATCAAATACTATTTTGAAGCTCAAAATTGCATCTAACATAAATGTTTTGCACCAAAGAATGATGCCAAAGTATTAAGAAGTAAAAGTAAGATAAGTAGTCTTAAAACAATTGAAAGAATTGAATCATCAAAACTGAGTCTAACCTGAACATGACCAGTATCACTCCAAGAAGCAACTATATGGGGGTTTTGCGTCATAGCACGTATACGATTAACACATCCTTCATGAAACACCTTGCGTAGCTTTGGAAAAAGAAATTGTTAGCTGCAGGAATATGTGTGATGATAAGAAATAAAGTACCTGTAGAACAGCTTCTACTTCCTTTTCTTCATTATTATCATCATCACTGTCACTACTTTCACTGTCCATATTATCATCATCACCAGTCTTTGTTGGCACCAAGTCCCGCCTTTTTCCAGATATATTAGATAACTTAAAAATTCCAATAGAGTTGGAAGCCCTTTTGTCTGCCTGAACGAATGGGAGAAACGAGCTTAAATTATCAAAAAGAAGTCTAGTTTAGCTTATGCTCTAGTACCTAAGAATCCATTCACTTCCAAAGTGGCTCTATGTTGGAATCACTGATAGATTTTCATCAGGCTTTGATTCCAATATGTAATATAAGACAACTCTTTTTATAGGAATATTTTATTCGCCACATGGATGGTTGCACTCTGGAATCTGAAGTAGAGAAGGAAAAGGTTGTGAAGTGTATTGAAGCTGCTATTCGGCGAAGGATAAGTGAGGTAAGGGAGATTATCTACTCCTCTTAACTTGTCTTGAATGTTTCTGAAGATTGCGATCTGCCAGCTCTAATGTTACATCTCTTCCCATCATTTCATTTAGTTGAGGCATAAGTAAATCCAATGATTGATATTTCTTGTCTCTTTATGACATTGCCAGTTTCTCATCCTTTAGACAAATTCATGGAACCAATGCTCTTAATATTATTTCATGGTCACTTTTTGTTGTTGGAATTATTTGGGGATCACCATATTTTTTTAAGATCCAAACAGGCTCTTGCTCGCCCCCATTTTGAACTACTTTGTCTAATAGACAAAAGTCTATTTATAAATCATTCATAGCTAAGGTGAAGAATCAAGAAATATTGCATATATAAACTTTCATTCTGTATTTCTGTGATTGACTGGTATGATGAATCCAAAAAGTAACGTAAAGCTAATTTTTTTCTAAGCAGTCCATGAACATGTGCAATTTTTTGTTTTGCTATTGGGATGAATGTGTAAGTTTGATAGAAGGATGTGGTCATCTAATATTATACTTTGACACATTAACCATTGCTTCTATTCTATTTGTGACTTGAACTTCAAGTGTTATGATTGCCCTCCAAGGGCGCATTCATATGTTACTTCAATCTATAACTTTATGGGATGCATGAACCTTCCCAAAACCCTCAGAATACTAATGCCACCAGGTGGAATGTAAATTATATTCCTTTTATATGCATGGCTTCAGCTTTGAGTTGTGTGCCAAGGACCGAGTTGGCTTACTTTCTGAAGTTACGAGAGTCCTACGAGAAAATGGGCTATCAGTGACTAGAGCTGGTGTTACAACTATTGGGGAGAAAGCAAAGAATTTCTTCTACGTAAGAGATGCGTCTGGAAACCCTGTAGAGATGAAGACGATTGAAAGACTGCGTGAAGAAATTGGACAGACAATGATGCTTAACGTGAAGAAAGTCCCAACATCTGCAAAGGCACCTGAAACTGGTCGTCTGGCTAAGACAAGCTTTTTCTTCGGAGGCTTACTGGAAAAGTTCCGAACCTGAAACTTCATCTACAACTACTTGTATAGCAGAATAAAGCACTTATATATAAATGTGGCAAGGTTTTCCTATAAAAACCTGTAGATACATTGGACAATTATCCTTGTCGGGATAAACAAGGGGAAAAAAGAAGTAGTCCCTTTCAGTCTTATTCTATGCTGAAGTTTGGAAGATTACGCGATGCTGTGTGTTGTTCTTGCACAATAAAAGATGAAGATCTATACATTATCAAAAAGAAGTCTAGTTTAGCTTATGTTTTTGGGATCCTTTGGAGGATATCAAAAAGAAAAGAAGGAAAAGAAAGACAAACTCAGAAATGGGCTGCAATGTATAAATGGCAACAACATGGAGTGAAGAAAGCTTACTTGTGTTCCTGCTACACAGTATGCAGTATGTGAAAACTCAGTTCGCACCATGCCAAGAGAGTCCCGCAGCACATCAAAACTGCCATTTCAAAAACCATTAGTTGATTTATTCTACTCTGATCGTTAAATTGTGATGAAGAAAAAGGCAGTCAAATACCTCATGCATGGCCATCCAATATGGAAGGCATGAAGGGCATTGTAAGCAGATGGGTCACACTGAAGCTCTTCACCTTCCTCCAATTTGTCTATTCCTGCCTCCCATACTTTTGATGCTACTGAATCCGACAATCCTTCCACTTCCTGTATAATTATTATTATTATTATTCAAAATTCAGATTTTTTTTCACAAAATTGATAGCAAAAACTATATTACAAACCTTATTCTTGCGCTTAGCGTTTTTGGGCTTCTTTAATATTCGAACCATATTCGGATTTTTACAGATTCAAGGCGAAGCACAGATTCGCCTGTCGCAAGTCTAGGTTTTAGAGAAGGAGAAATCTTCTGCCGATACAAAACTCTATTTTAATTTTGTTTACTAAAAATACCTTTTTTTTTCTTTTACCTGTTTAAAAGGCATAGGTTTCTTTAAAATTCCCTAGGTTTTAGGATTGGAAAAAATAAAATAAATTAAATGATACTTATAAAATAATATAGTATGAAGAAGTTATTATATTACTTTCTATTAAAAAATAATCATAACCTCTCCAAACATCACCTTTATAATTATTATTCTTGTAACTAGAGGCAGATTTAGGGCAAATATGTCACTTTACACGATTTCGTCGAATTTTTTTTTATCAAATATGTTTGTATAAAAAAAAGAAACTAAAGGCTAAAATAATATACAGTTGACTCCTTGTAACATAATTTGGTGGCGTGACATACTTCTTTGATTAGTATTTGTGTTTTTCTTTATTGTAATTTTTTTTGACATTTTATTTATCATCCATTCTCATATAATATTAATAGAATATTAATATGACTAGCATTTAATTAATAAAAGCCTCACCTATGTTACACTCATAAATTATCCATTTTTTTAACCTTTAGTTTCACAACCCACCCATTACAATTACTCTTTGATAAATGACATTAAATCAGGCCTAAAAAAGTAATTGTTCCTTCTTCCCATTTAACTTCTTTCAATTCACCATCTTCCTTATTTTTTGCCCTATCATGGCAAATCCTCTTTCTTATATCACCCTTAACTCTCAACTTCTTTCTACTATTACAACATACTCAATGTGTCAGTAATTTCACAAGTGAATGCGGACCTTTGTTTTGGTAATATATATATATATATAAAAATAAATAAAGAAGAAACTTAAGTTTGTTGATGTGGCATACTTCTTTGGTCAGTGTTTGTGTTTTTCTTTTTTGTCATTTTTAGACATTTTATTATCATCCATTCTCATATAATATTAACAAAATATTAATATGACTAACATTTATTAATAAAAGTCTCACCCACGACTACACCATTTTCGGCCTACAGCAACACCACGTAAGTGTAGCCTAAACTAGCAAAAAGTGTGGCCTTTGATAAAAGGCTACATTTTTGGACATTCAGCAACACTTTATAGGGGCTGCCCAAAAGAAGCGTAACCTTTGACATTAGGCAACACTTTTTAAATGTTGCCATCTTTGGCTACACTTATAAAGCGTAGCCAAATAGGTATAAGGGCACGCTTTGAAGACATGCATTGGCAACACCTATTTTTTGTTAGACTACACTTAAAAGGCGTTGCCTCTCAGATTTATTGGTCACACTTAAAAAGTGTTGCCTTTTATTGGTCATCTATTGCAACATTTATAAAGTGTAACTTTATATCTCATCTATTGCAACACTTATAAGGTGTTACTTTATATGTCAGCTATAGCAACACTTATAAATTGTTACTTTATATCTCATCTAGAACAACACTTATAAAGTGTAACTTCAACATTTATAAGCCTACATGTAGCACAAATATATAATATGTTTACATACATACAAGTGACCTAAAACACAAAATGAACTAATTAATCATTAAATTGAAGCTATATTTTTCAAATAAACTTCGAGAAACATTTCATGTACAACCAAAACTTAGAAAGTGATTGCTTAAAGATCTCTACCATCAACAAGTTCCATAAACCTAAAAGTGTCATTCAAACGTATATGACAACAATACAAAAATTTCTTCATCTTTTGCCACAATAGATCGAGTTTACTTCTAGCCAAATTCAAATTCAATTACCTGCATTTTCCTGCACATTTAAAATAAATTTATAAGTTTGTGAATTAATTGATGGAAGTGCATAATCAGAGAGAATTCACTGTAAGACAACCAATCCAAATCTAAATATAATTTCAATGTAAAAAATACAGATTATAAGGACTACAACATTTGTGCAGTCTTCTATTGTTGGCTCTCAATTTTAATGCAATACATAATTCAGAATATTACCTTGAGTAGTGATTCCTATTGTGTCTCCATGGAAAATTTCAAAACATCCCATGTCATCAAGTTTATTTGCAACAGATGTCTCTTTTGAAGGTGAAATCAGTCCATCAACTGGGCACCCAATAGCAAAGGATACATATCTGCCAAGAAATACTCTAAAGCTGATGCAAAGTAGATTACTAGCTTCATAATAATTACCAGAACACAGTGATTCAAAGTCACAGTGATAAAGAAAACAAAGAGTACACAAAATGCATGTCCAATGTGCAGAACCTTCTTCAGTATTGAAGGAAAAACCGAACTAACTTAGCCTTGTGCTCAAGTATCAAATAACTCATTACCCACAAATTCATATTGCTAGAGTTTGGAAGAAGATGGAATATCTCGTTATCTCCTACACTTTCTGTATTAAGCAAAACATACTTCACATATGGAATAAAACAGAAACTAAAACCTGTAAACAACTATTAATCAACTAAAA